TCCTCAACCTTGGCAGCTTGAAGATGTGTGGACTTCAACTCCCAGAATTCCCCAGCCAGCTGAAGTCCACATATCTTCAAGCTGCCAAGGTTAAGGAACACTGCTCTACACTATTGGAAAATAATCCTTCTTCCATGTGTATATTCTACTATATTCCACTCATTCCCACCCCCTTAAGCCAGTGGGAAAGTCTTCTTCATATCAAGCTGGGTTTCTGGTGACTCCATAGACATCCTTGTCTTGGCAATACTATGACAGTGATTGGCCACTGTCTTCTCCTGGGACTTTTTTTTTAACTTCCCAGTCTATCTATATCCATGGTCTATGTACTTGGTCACCTATCCAAGGACTAATCAGGCCTAACCCCAGCTTTAATCTGCTTTTAATGGCACTAAAAAACTTTTTTTCTGTCTTTTTACATACATTAAAATAATTTTGGAACAGCAGTTACATTTTAAACCTTAGGCAGTGTCCAGACCTAAAGAACCATTTTTCCTTTATCTTCCTCATTTCTAAACAATAATGCATAGGGGTGTCTGCAGGATATTGTCAAAAAAGTCAAGATGGCAGCCATGGTGATAAACTCCGCCTCTTTTTGACGTGCAACGAAAACAGGTAGAGCTTTGATCATCCCATCGTGGTTGCCTTCTTGACTTCTTTCACCTTTCCTGTGGATACCCCTAATAATGCAGTCTTCAGACATGTCATTTTTGTTTGAAATTCTGCTGTTGGATGGTTCATAACGGGATTTGATTTATGTTACGTTTGTGCTGCTTGCCCCAGTTCCTAACCCTTTCTTATTTGTTCCCCCCTTGCAATTTATGAGCACGCAGGTAATGACTTGGACTCTTGACTTCAATTCCAACAGGTTCCTGCACGAAGTCCAGCAGAATTCTGTCACCAACAAGATGAATGTGGAGAATCTGGCAACAGTGTTTGGTGTGAACCTGATCAGACCCAAGATGGAAGATCCAGTGACTATTATGAGAGGTGAAACTCCTTGGACAAGGATTTTTGTCTCTATTATGGGTCTCAAAGGGGGCAGATGTCTGTAAGATTGCCATCAATCAACTAGAGCTGTCAATCAACTAGACTTCCCTTGTATCTAGTGACCTCCAGATATGTCTGACTATGATTCATTTTTAGCCACTATCTGCCAACCCTTCAAGATAGACCAGATGAGGAAACCAAAGCAATGAATGCTAATACTACTTTTATTATAAGGTTACAGCAACAGAGCCTTGCAAGTTTGAATGTGCTTCCCCTTCCCTCCCTGTATCTACAAGCGAACTCGGGAAGGTCAAGACTGAGGTGCTTTCTCAAATTACATTTCTGCCCCAGACTCAAATTTCTTTTATTGACCATTGTCTTGGTTGAGGCTCTTCCTCCTGTTCCTCAAGGTTATTCTCACAGCTTATTACACTATGGCCATTGGTTGTGAATTATTGGAGTCATATCAATCTTGCAGTAATGAATATATGTAGCTCAGGGTTGAATTGTTGGGTTCTTGAAGGTCCTCTGAGCTTGATTTCTTCTTGGAGATGTTTCATTACCAGGCTAGGTACCATCATCAGTGCAGGTGGAGTGAAGCTTGCTGGTGGCTTGTCCTCCCAGCCTTGATTAGGGTACAGGTAGTCCTTGTTGAATGACCACTTGTTCAGCAACCGTTCAAAGTTACGATGCCACTGAACAAGGGGGAGTTATGATGGGTCCTCATAGTTGTGGCTGTCACAGTGTCCTATGGTCACGTGATCACCATTTGCGACCTTCACTGCTGGCTTATGACAAGCAAAGTCAATGGGGAAGCCGGCAGGAGGTTGCAAATGGTGAATGTGTGACCGTGGGACACTGCAACTGTGCAGGATTCATCTAACAATGGCAACTGGGACTGCCACAACTGCCATTGTAAGTTGGTGTGTCATGTGATGTGCTTATGACCGTGTTGCTTAGTGATGGAATTGCTGGTCCCAATTATCATTGTTAAGCGAGGACTACCTGTATGGTTTCTTCCTTGATTGTCCCTGTTTATCTAGGCCTGGCACCTGCTTATCAGGGTGTTGGTTAATAGGCTGAGGAAGGATATCCTTAGGGCTGTTTCGTACCCCCTGGAAGGCTGCACCAATCTATTTACCCAGGGAACGTGAAGCCCCTCTACCAAGGATTTCCCCTTCCACCCAGCTCTAGGAAACAGTAAGGTGTTTGCTGAAAGCCTGGAAATGTAGAATTTAGCGAAATCTGGTAAAAATCCTAAGAGCACAAGTGTGCAATCTTTCCTTATGAGGAAAGTTTGAGAAATTTGTTTTCAAAAACAAGATAGCCAAAGATGCTACTATCAGTCAGAACAATTCTTGCAAGATCCTGGGGAGTAAAAGCCAATCTGAACAGTATTTTTTTAACACACAAGAGTAACACATGACAGCAAACAACCCTATGAGTTATGATGATGGTTTGGTATCCACAAGACTTTTGTGGCTCTTTTATAAGTAGCCTACAAAATCACTTTCAGTGAGGAGTTCATGGCTGAACAAATGGCCACACATTTGCCTCCCGCTCAGATATTATTTGGAAAGTGTAGACTAAGAACCCAACATCCATGGGCGCCTGATACTGCAGAAAGCCATCCTCTTAGTGGAGATCGATTATTCTTTTGTCCAGTAGTGTAATGGTCTCTCTTACTGGAGTTAGGGATCTAGCCAGGAAATCAGAACCTTGTTAATAACTGAAGTCACCTTTCAATGTCCTGGTCACATCCAGCTGGACAAACTATTATGCCCAAAGTTTACATTTATTGGGGAACAAAAGGTGAGATTTGGCTACTCAGGTTTCTCAATGAGGTGGAGAAACATCAGGATCTAGGTTGTCCAATGGCACTTCCAAATTTTCAGAGCCATATTCATAGCGCCTTGCACTGGTTTTCATTGTGGCCACTGAAAATTCCAGGTGAGTCAACTAATGCTCCCTTCAGCTCCATCAATATGTAGAATTAAATCAGCCCTGAGTCAATGCCCCAACCCCACCCTCATTATTAGTTTCTGACCACAACAGAGCAATAGAAGAGGCAAGGGTCAGGATCTGGAGTGGGTCCTGTCCCCTCACTGCATTTATTTTTGCAGCAAGGAGAAGGAAAATCTCCCAGGATGATGATGATGATGATGATGATGATGATGATGATGATAATAATACTGCAGAATAAGTGATGGAGTGACACTGAGGCACCTTGAGGGAGGGGGAGCAGCCAAGGAGAAAGTAGAAAGAGAAAGTAGCCACCTGCCCCACCATCCCTGGTGGTTGTGTTAACATGGCAGAACCGCCTCTCCAATCTTCCTTCATCTTTGCTTCTGAACTGGAAGTTAATCCGCTGAGCTGCAGAAGAGCTGCTGAAGAGCCCCAGAGAAGACAGGGCCACAGCACCAACCTAGGTTGGCACAAATGCTGCGTCTACAAGTTGCATGGGCATAAACGTTGGTCAACGCTTGGTACTTGTACAGAACAGTTGCATTCTCCTGCGCTGAGCAGGGTTTAGATTAGATGATCTGAACGTCCCTCCCCAATCATACATTCTGTGATTCCCCCAGAAGAAGTGCATGTTGCTCCTACATTTTGCTATAACCTGGAATTTTTGGTGACACAATCCGCACTTGGGAGATCTCCTTCCATAACAAGCCTTCTATTTCTCCTAACTGGTCATAGGAGTTGCTCCTTGCTTTCAGCAGTCTGGATATGGGATCTGAAACCCTGAACCTCTTCCATTTGCACTCCAGATCTGATGTGTGTTAAAAGCATTGCCAGTTAGTGCTTTCCTGGTTTCTCCTGCAGGAACTCCCCAGATCCAGAAAGTGATGACAACAATGATCAGTGACCACGAGAAGCTCTTTCCGGTATCCAAAGATGCAACGCCTTCTCCACCTCCCCCAGAAAGCAATTCCAAGAAAGCTCCGGTGCTGCGTAGCTCCGTCGGTTGGGACGCAGTAGAAGGGCCACAAATGTCCTGGAGGGAGAACAAGAGCCTGCTGCAAACCGTGAGCATCTGCTTGACTTTTTCATCCTGTGTTTTGCCTGGAGGGATGCATGAGGGTGCATCTGCCCATGTATGCGAAAACATGATTTTGTGCATGCGCTGAAATCACATACAAATTAGTAATTTGTTTCTGAGGTTTCTGTCCTGCTTTTGGCCAACAGGTGGTGCTCAAGGAGGCTGACAAAAATAAGAACAGTGAAATTGAGGTACTGTTTTAAAAACTGGTTAAAGCCTGTCAACCTAAGACAGCATTCAGACTACAGCACCTGAAATCCTGCTTGCAAATCAGCCTAAACAAATAAATAGGGTTTTACCTGCTGTTGCAAAAAGGCAAAGGAAGCCATTCCAGCGTAGGGTTCATCTTCATGTTCCCATGGACCTGTCTGGAAACCAGTTTGTTTAATGCCAGTCCTCTTGGGGTTGCCCTCAGGTCATCGCAAGGCAGCTTCAAGTCCCCTTTGGCTGTTGCCATTTTAAGGTGGGGTTTGCTTCTCCTTGGACACAGCTTGGGCCACAGATACGGTTGAACATGCTCCGTCAGCAGTGGAGTTTGAGTGGGATTTCCAGGCTCCCAGTGGCCACTTGAGACTACCCTGGTGGCTGGGTCATGCCTTCCACGATGAGTTTGGCTTCCAGAGAGGCCAGAACTGTGGCCTCCACAGAGAGATCTGTCTGGGTAATGCCTGATAGGAGGGCTGTCTGCAGGGTGTGGTCAAAAAAGTCAAGATGGCAGCTACGACGGTCCAATCAAAGCTTTGCCTGCTTTTCAGGTGCGTTGATTCCATGCACCTGCCTGTACTCACCTGTGGGCATCAACACCTATAAAAAACAGGGGGAGCTGTCTTGATTTTTTGACCATTCCCTGCTGGCCCTTTCTGAAGTGCTTGTCA